ATAGGGATGTCTGTATAACTTAACAACACCGTATCCAGCAGATACGTGTGCTTTATTCTTTGTTTTTTTTTTTTCCGAGTGTCCCTCCAATTTAGATTAAATAATATAGACAGAGAAACACAAGGTTCAAGAGCTTATTAGTACTATACCTTAAACAATAACATGGGTGAAATTGGAAAGTAGCCATTAATGAGTTATATGGTTGAAGACTTATATTGAGAATAAAAAATTGCCTCTAGAAAATGCCCTGTACTAAAAACCAAAGGGAGTTAGGAAAATCCACTATGTATAGAACACGTTGGAAAGTGTAAACAACAAGTTTGCCAAGAGTTTTAGGTATAGTTTTGCGGGAACTCTAAATCCATAATTATATGCATTTAGGAATGTGTAAGTTCTTTGACTAAAAATTAAAAGACTCCTCCTTTGCTTCTCTCTTCCAAGCTTATCCTTTAATTTAGTTAATTTTGTCATTTTGCAAGATGATTGCTTCAAGATTTTCCAAAATCTATCTTCTTAATCACTTGCAGCGGACAATAACTCTAGCCTACATATATTTACAAGTAGTGTCGTCTTCTGATCGATAGTTCATTGTTATAGTCATTGTGAGCATAATAACAATACTCCCTCCATCCCATATTATAAGCAACTTTGTACTAGATTACGTAAATCAAAGTAGTAATTAAAATTAGTTAAAAATAATAAATATGTAAAAATTAAAAATTTTCTCTCCAAAATACCCTCATTTATGATTGGAGAATAATGAAAGAGAAAGAATGGTAGTTGTTGCTTATATTATGAAAGAGAGAGAATGGGAGGATTATTTATTAAGGATAAAATAAAAAATTTGTTATAAAAATTTAAGACAACTATTAAAAATTACTTATATTCTAGGAAAAGATGAAGATGGTAATTGTTGCTTATAATATGGGACGAAGGGAGTATTACTTATTATAACTACCCTCCATCCAACAATAACATAAGATATCTTCTAAAATTTTTCATGGTCCATTATTAGGCTCTTTGAAAATTTGGTGAAACGTTTATGACGTATATTTCCAAAAATAATGTCGGCAAAAAAATTCTAAATATATTATTTATGTAATTAACCTCAATCAATTGGAAGATATTATCTTTGACTTTTGCATAGAAAACAATCCCGCAATCCATTAGGAGGTGGCGGTAATTAATTAATACTATTTATATAATTTACCTGTGCTTCTAGTTTTTCTTAATTCTATTTATAAATAACCTTATTAAATTTTTAACATAAATATAATAGTTTGTCCAGTATTTATTATAGTGTAGATAGTTTATTTTTAGATATAGTATTTCTACTAAATAGGGATAATATTGAAAAATTACTATATTTCAAAGGATGAGTTCATACAATTTAATTTTTTTCAGTTTGTTTTTGTTGTTGGATGAATTGTGTATTTTAACTTCTCAGTACGCAAGAATTGGTGATTATAGTGATGAGTTGAAAGAGGTACAAGACTTAGATATGGGTATTTTGTGTTTAAGTTTAAATCATGGTGGGGCACTATATGATTATATAACAATCATGGTCGGTCTTCCTACATTATTTCCGTCCATTATAACCATCTATTGAATAAAAATTCTCCTCGTGAATCTTAATGTGTAATAAACCAACTGCTTTTATTTTTAGCCAAAGTCTGATTTGCGGATATCAGCCCATATTTAGAACATGCACGGCTGTGTCCATCAGAGCCTTTCTAATTAAACAGAGTATACCCGCTGACAGAACACAACGAGATTCCATCATATCCCACGAAGTTCTTTCTTAACAGGAGTAAAATTGATCAGATTAAAAAAATTCTTCACTCGCTTTATCAGCTTCATATATATACACCCATTACTTCTGATCCTAAATATAAGATCTAGTTTATAACGTAAATTAAAAAATACAAATTAAAATTATAGAATAAACTAATTTTTATTTAAAATCAGAAGTTGTGTCCGTGTATATATATTTAAAGAAGTATGTAAATATTTTATAAAATATCCATGTCAACAGGGCCAGGTCTACTCCGCTCATCTCCAGCCAGCATCTATAATTTGTGTTCTTAAGACATTGAAAGATTTCTTTTATGGGGGATAAAAACGGTCATAAGTATTTAATTTTAAACATCAAAAGCGTGACCGAACGAACATAAATTCAATGCACTAAAATAAGAAATTCATTTATACTGAATATAATATTGCTAGAATATGAATATTGGATACATTAATTACTTATTGAATAAAAACTTCAAATAAAATGAAATGACCAACATTGATTATTAAAAAAATGCATAACAAAATTTTTTAAAATATTGAAATTAACAATACTCTCAACGTTTAATTATTTACAGTATCATTTATAAATAATGTTTAATAGTTTAACTTGTGAGTAATTAAAATAATTACAGACTTACAGCCAATAAGTGCATATGTTCAAATCTGAGCCGTTATCCTTTCCCCCCGCCAACGCTCCAAAGCATGCCACGTCATCCACTGTGAAAACGTTTTCCACGTTAATAGTGTGCTCATCCCTTTGATCAGCATTATAAACTTATCAATTTGGTTAATCACATCTTATTTTGATGGTCTACGTTTAATTTTTTATTTATTCAAAATACTTATTTAAATATATATAAAATAAAATAGAGATAACCTCCTAATTATATTTTTTTAAAAATAATTTTTATTTAAAAATAATTAATTAATTATTTTAAATATTTATTGTTTAAATTAGATATAAACTGCAGAAATCGGATAAGTTTAAGAAGTTATGTTTCCTGATTGGACTCATTTAGAACAGCTTACAAATAGTTTTTTAATAATGATTTAAAGAATACAAGACAAATATTTGAGAGGAGTTTTACCCTGAAACGTACTATAAGAAATTTTTTAAACCCCAAACAGGCCCTTAAGTTTATCGTGCTCATGGTTGTATAGATAAATAACTTTTCTCTCCCTTTCCCTCATTATCTCTCGTCCTCAGTTTCGAAAGCCTCTCACACTCATTCTCCTCTCCGCCGGTCGAAAGCAGAGCGTTGCAGCCTCTCACTTGACATCCGTCAGATCTTCACTATCACATCCGTCGCATCTCCACCGTGAACGCCGTCCAGTGCTGGGACCCTAAATGTATCGTTTGTAATGTAGTAGCAGTCAGTCCAGTGATGCGCACAATGAAGGAGAAGCCGATGGTTTGTTAGTTCCCTTTTGCTGTTCCCAACCTACTGGTTTGGGCTCCTCCACTTACCCATCAGTCTAAGGCTTCTCACCAGTCGCATCGTCGCGTGTTCGATTTCGCGTCTGCATATCCAAGGTTTCGGGGTTCTCTTATTCGATTGCCAAAATTGATTGTGCGTTTTATTCTCCCTTGATCCCATCTTGATTATTTACTGCTGAGATTCTTAATATTTCTTTTTTGTATGATACTCAAGACCTATTTAACTATTTAATTAATTTGATTAAATTAAAAAAGTTAGATAAGATAGTTGATTATAAAAAATATAACATGTTTTTTTTAAAATATCATAATTATTTTTTTAATATCCTTTTTTTTTTTTGCTTGATTATGGTTCTGTGAAATTCATAAGAATAATTTAAAAAATTAATAAATATGAAAAATATGTCTTATATTTAGGACCAAAATCAACTTAACAATTAAATTGGAGGAGTATGAATTAAGGTTTTAAAATATATTTCAGTATTTAAATTCCGTTTTTTCATATTAAAATAATTCAAATTAATTGTATTGTTTAAATTTATTTTTATCATTTTTTATTGTTTAAAAAAATTTATATCTATTTTGATAATTTTATAAATTAAACTTATTTTTTAATCATAATCCAAACAATCTTCTACTCCGTTTAATTTTTATAAATTAACTTTTATAGAATCTAATCCAAACATAATTTATATCACTTAATTTAATTTTTACCCAATCTAATTTTTCTAAAAAAAATAAATTAAAAATAAGTTATTTTTTTCATCCTAATCCCAACAAACCCAAATTATTGGATTCTGATTGTCATGGCCACAGATATCAAATAAAGATGTAAGCTCGCGTCGTGGCAAGAGAGAAGATAAGATAGCACGTTGGATTACCGGCTCCTTTCCACTTCACCCACTTTGAAAAGGTTTTCCGCTATACTTATTTTTTGCCTTTAGAAAAAGTTAAGCGCTCCTTTTCTTTTCCTTTTGGCAACACATCAATTCAATTATGCTTTCTTCTTACTTAGTGCTCTTTTCTTTTTTCTTTTACCTTTCATGCATTAGTACATTTCAATTTGCAGAATATTAAAAGGATAGTGATTAATTGAAGTTCATAGCTATAATGGTGGTTTAATAAATTTTAAAGTTTTAAGTTCATAATTTGTGCTTATTTAATATTTATAAAACTTATTATTTTATAGTTTTTTAAGTTATTTTATAAAACTTAAATTAATATTTCAATGGTTATAGATCTGTCATCATGATATAAGCGGCCTGAATTTTGCTACCTAGGGCTTCGAAAATTAATATTTTATAGTTTGGATGACTCGTGTGTTCTGTTCCGAAAAGTGGCACCTGGTGGGGGCAACACTTTTGAAAATTTGAATTTTGAAAGTCCATTTGGAAATTAGAGGTATGATTAATGCTTACATTTTCTTTGTTGGTCAATAATTAGCGCTTACTTTGCGACCTGCATCATTCCACCATAATCATATCATGTGAAAATATTCCAAAAAACTATCCATTTTATTTATTATTAGTATTATTTTGTGCTGATTAGGAGGCTCAAATTTTCACCGTCTGCAACATAGCAGCTTTAGTTAATTGAGCTATGGAAGGAAGCCGCAATTTTAACGACATAGTTGCAGAGCCACTCACGAGAAACAGCAGTGTGATTGGTTCGAATGGGTTAAGAACTATCTGATATCTCGAGATCTTTGGGAAGTGACGAATAGTAGCGCAAGACCAGACGAAGATGATTTGGAAGGGTTTCCTAAATGGAGAAGAAACAATGCTGCACAGCTGCAGCATTGCACGTCATCCGTATCTCTTGTGGACGTCCCAATCACTCCCATATAAAAGGGGTCTCTAAAGCCAAAGATGCATGGGACATTCTCTATGAGACCTACAATAACAATGCGCCGGCCTCTGCACCGGCTTCTCCCCCAGGTCAGTGCCTTATATATTTCATTAGTGGTATATGTGGAAAAATCCTTTAGTAATTAGGGCACCAGCTCTCTCACAAGAGTCATCTCCACAAAATTAATTTACTCAAAATATACGGTCCTTCTTTATTTGTAAGGCTACTAACAATTCTCTTATTGCCCTCCTACTCAAAATATAATTGAGTGGTGATTACAGAGTTAACGGAGGTAGAAGAATTAGAGATGAGTAATATGCTCAAGGCCATAGCTGAAAACAACTGGTTGGCTGCGAAAGCATTCATTGATCGCTATCCTCAGGTATTGGACGTAGATTTTGCGAAGTCAATGGGCGAAACACCTCTTCACGTGGCTGCAAAATTTGGGCATCTGGGCATAGTAGAGGAGCTGGTGAGATTAGCTCCAGAAGAATATCTGGAGATACGCGATGCTTACTGGGGCAATACTCCGCTTGCAATGGCTGCTTCACACAGTGAACTTATCCCAGTTGCAGCATGCTTGATCAGCAAAAATAAAAAGCCACTTGAAATTCCAACTGATAATAACGCTTGGGAGATTCCGGCTAACTCGGCTTTTTATTCTGGCCGAAAGAAAATGGGACGTTATCTTTATTCTGTCACTCCTTGGGAAGTCTTCAGACCAGACAACGGCAGTACTGTGGGGCCCCTTTTTCTCCAAATCTGTTTGAAACTTGGAGAATTAGGTAGCATAACTACTTTTAGATAAATAATTTTATACACAGCATAATAATATATGTGTTTCATTTTCGTTTGGGTTAAGGTATATTTTAGTCCCGAAAGTTTTCACGAAGGAACTGTGGGTATCCAAAAATATTTTTTGAGGTAAAGTGGTTCCGGAAGTGACAAAATCGTAGCAATGTCGTCATATTTCAACGGAGTTAAACGGTCAATGTTAGTTGACCAATTTGTGTTGGGGTGGTTCTACCATATAGGATAGCACGCCACATAATAAAAATGAAATACCAAACATGTCCCTTTCTTCTTCCTCCTCCACCACACGTTCTTTGGGAACAAACCAAAAACAAATGCAGAGCTGAATATTTCTGGGCTTACCTTCATCCCTCACTGTTCAACCTCTTGCTCTGTTTTTATTTTTCTAATATTTCTCGCTTTATAATCATGTTTGTTGTTTGGTTTTGAATTTGGATTTCAAAATCTATTGTGATTTTTTTTGGTTGATTTTAATTAATGAAGTTGGTCATAGTGAGGCTTGTGTATTTGGAGAGCTACTGTGAAGAGCTGAAGATACCCACAAATATCATAATCAATCCAAACTGCCATTGCCGTGTGAAATTTTGGCCGACACTGATGCTATGCCAGAGTCTCTTTATGATCTTAAATATTCTCTATGACATGCCTGAGTCTCCCGTATGAATGGCATTTTGAAGTACTCCAATTAGTTGAGACTTGAGTCTCCTGAAGCAATTAAGAGCAAAGATACGAAGGTTGCTGTAGGTTGTTAAGGAGGATAGTAAGAATTACTAAGAGCAGGGGCGCGAATATCTAGAAAGAAGATGAAGAAGCCATGGAATGATCTAAACTAAAATTCTCCATGGATGCGGATGATGATGATGATGATGAAGGGTAGAGATTTGCATTTTTCTAGATTCGTTTTTCTTCTCATATTGGTTAATTGTTGATCTGGGTTTAAAGTTTTTTTATGGGACTGATGATAATGATGCAGGGGAAAGGTTTCTTTTTTTTTTTTTCCATTAAGGATTGTGATGATGTGGCATGTTACGTGACATAATATTTAATATGACAGAGCCACCTCAGTACAAATTGGTCAACGAAAACTTTCAATACAAAAATATCATTTTACCCTTTTCATTTCCCCCGTCAGTTTATACATGTGGCCTCTTTCCATTTCTAATACTATATGATGTCGGTGCATAAATAGGTATTGCCTTGGCTTTGCTCCACCGATACAAGGAGCTGCTTTTTGCTACTGGCATAAGCAAGATACCAACAATTAAGTCTGTTGCACGCTATCTTCCTGAATATTTGGACACAAGTCAACTTTCGTTCTGGAAGCGATGGCTGTATCACTGTTAGTGCATATTATTACTTTCTACTACCCTCTGTTTTTCCCTACAATTTTCTTTATGTTGTTTCCTCATTTTAATTATACACTAGCCAAAATGGTGAATTATGATGATGAGGATAAAGATGGTGAATATGAAGTTATTTTAACTGCCATTGGTATTCATCTACTAAGGCTCTTTGAAAATTTGGTGAAACATTTATGAAGTATTTCCACAAATAATGTTGGCAAAATTCCAAAAATACAATTTATGCAATTAACCCTCAATTTATTGGAAAATATTATCTCTGACTTTATTATTATTTTTTTTGCAACTATTATTTTTGACTTCATGTTTCATACAAAACAATCCCTCAATTTATTAGGAGGCGGCGGCAATTAATTGATGCTATTTATGTAATTTACTTGTACTTTCTAGTTATTTCTTGCAATATTATTCGAAGAAGCTTATGCGTTCCATTTCTCTGATCACATTCGGGTGGAAGATATCAAAAGACCATCAACCACAACCACTGGGCATTTCTGCGTAGATATTCAGCAAGAAGGCGAGAGCATCCAAGCTGGTCAAGGTACAAAATTCTCTCTCACTTTAGAAGATGAAATCAAGTAATATTATATAACTATTATCATAGAACATAGATTATACAATGTAAAGTTACGTTTTTCAATTTATTCATTATACATGCCAAAATCCATGTCAACAGGCCTAGGTCTATTCCATTGGCTTATCTCCGGCACCTACAATTTGTTTGGTACGTAAGTGTACCAAAAGTTTCCCCAGAACTTAAATTGGATGCCTTTAATATTTTAATTCTATTTGATTTACCAATGGTGCAGGAATCAAGAAAATAGATGAGATGAAGGAGCAGCATGCAAAAGCAGATAAAATTCTAAACTTAGTTTGTGAGAATCTGAGACATTTGAATGAAGTAAAGAAGAAAATGTTTGAAAAAGCACTGATATCTGTATCTGAAAAAGAGAGTGTTGAGTTTTTGTTGCGAGTAACGAAGGCAAACACAGAATTAATAACGCTAGTCATTTATGGTAGGTCAGACTTGCCCATTTTCTTTCATGCTGTTAAATATCGTAGAGCTGAGATTTTCAACCTCCTCCGTGGTTCTTGCTTTAAGAATGTGGTGGCGTCAATAGTTGATGACAAGACCTCAAATACCTTGCTGCATGTGGCAGCCCTGTTGGCTCCTTCTTCCTACCTTGACAGCATCTCTGGCGCTGCATTGCAGATGCAAAGAGAGATGCAATGGTTCAAGGTTAGTTAGAAGTGAAATGTAATGCTCTTTCCTTCAATATTGTGTCTTTTATTAATTACTTATTATGTATTTATTTTCCGTCGAGAGTGTGGTGGATCGTGGAGATAGGCTAGTTCTAAACAACGATAGGTTGACGCCTCTAGAGTATTTCAAAATAAACCACAAAAAGCTGAGGGCTGGTGGAGAAAAATGGATGAAAGAAACAGCGTCTTCTTGCTCAGTTGTTGGGGCTCTAATTGTTACCATCATGTTTGCGGTAGCTTTTACGATTCCCGGGGGAAATAATCAGAATTCAGGGTACCCAATGTTTATGGAAGAGAAGTTATTTAAAGTCTTTTTAATTTCAGATGCACTTTCCTTATTTTCTTCCACAACTTCTGTGCTCACATTTTTAGGAATCCTCACGTCTCGCTATACTTATGAAGACTTCCTTTACTCACTACCCACAAAATTGATAATAGGTCTTTCTTCACTTTTTCTGTCTATTGCAACTATGATGGTTGCCTTTTCAGCAACCATAATAATCATGTTGGAGTATCACTCATCACGTTTATGGGTTATTCTTCTTGTTTCTATACTTGCTAGTATTCCAATAAGCCTCTTTGTATTACTACAATCCCGTCTTCTTGTTGAAGTATTTTGGTCTACTTATGGTCCAGGCCTCTTCAAGAAGAAGGTGGTGAGGTGGCCATGAACTGTATATGTAATTTATTCGCATCTTGCTATATATGTATTATTTTCTGTTGAATAAAAATTTTCCTCTTGAAGCTTAATCGGTTAATAATGCAATTACTTATATTCAGAAAATAAATATATATTGATGTAATTATCCCAAATTAATTAAGATTAATTAATTGACAAGACTTGGCTATATATGTGCGGATGAATTATTTATTTTTACCGGGAACAAATCGAACGATGAAATGGGCCCAGCCCAAACCAAACCAAAGGGGTCACATAGGCCTAATACACTGATGGGCCCACGGTACTTTATAGTTGCGGTTAAGAAAAAATTTAGAGAATAAGGGATGTCCTTCCAAAAGTTGCTGACGGAGAGAGGGCCTAACTTGTTTCCAATATTAGGTTCTGTTTTACTAAGATCTATGTAACTACGTGCTTCACATCTTATTACTTCATGTATCTGTTGAATAAGAAATTTCTGATCCCGTTGGATCTTATCATGTAAAGCGCCATGCATGAAGATTGATAATGTTGTGACTATAGCAGGAATACATATGGGCCTATTATAGTTTGAATCTAAATAAGATTGAACAATTTAAATTTAAATTAATAAAAAGTTTAATTGTATTCATGGGCATTTTTTTCAACAATAATAAGAAATAAAGTTACGGTTGAGATTTTTTAAATTCAAATTTAAGAGATCAAAATCATCAATGCAATAAAGCAGAAAACTTTATATTCTTTTTTAAAATATTCAATGAATTAATATCACAGAAAATTACTCTCATTCCTTGGCTCTCTTTATGTGTGAGAGACAGTACCCCGTCAAACTAAGGCCTCAAAAATCAAGCTGCTAATGATCATTCCTTTCAAGATATCATTGATGATTGTTTTCGTAAGTTTCGTATATACAGAGAATGTAAAAAGCTCTGCTAATTACCTAAGGAGACAGGGTCTTGAAATTATAATAATGGGCTTTCCAAAAAATATTAAAAATAGGTAATATGGTCATTTCAATAATCTTTAAAATCCCTATTTAGACTTATTTAATTAAAAAGGAATTTTTATTATTCAGATAACTATTTGAAGATTTTTAAATTTAACTGTGTTTTTCTATCGTTTTCCAAATTTCAATTGTGCAAAAAGCTAGAGTTCAATTTTTTAAGATTCAAAATTTTCGCCAGATTTTATCAATTTAAATTTATGAGATTAAAATCATTAATATGTAAGATTTATTAAAATCTTCAATTAATTAAGAGAGAATTATAATGAGGTCAAAAAAAAATTAAAAAACAAGTTTTACTGTAGGAATTGTTTTTTACACAATGCTCAAGTTATTATTAAAATCTTTTAATAATTATTTTTTTCTGTAAAACTTGATTATGATTTCCCTATTAATCAACCTGACAAAAGATCACAGTATGTCAGAGAGAGAGAGAGAGAGAGAGAGAGAAGATCTGTATCCCGCGGCCTAAGCCTCATCTCATCGTATCGTCATCGCATGACATTGGCAGACCAGGGTAGCCCCCGCAGCTACTTTTGCGTGGTCACTATCACCGTACATCAACTGGTTCAAGCTCTTTATGGCCGTTACACATACATGGGGGCCGCGAGCAAGTGTACGTACTAATGTCGTGAAATTATGAGGAAAATTACAGTAAAATTTTAAGGAAAAAAAAACTATTAAAAAATGGAAAAATGACAATAAAATAC